CACCAAAAAGGACGTTTATCCTCTACCCCGGATAGATGACTCGTTGGACCGTATACCCAACGCTAAATATTTTTCTTCCATGGATTTACGTAGCTGCTACTGGCATGTCGCAGTGGATGAGCGCGACCGCGAAAAGACGGCGTTTATTACTCCCGACGGCCTGTACGAGTTTAAAGTGTTGCCTTTCGGTCTATGCTCAGCGCCAGCTACTTTCCAAAGAATGATGGATACGGTTCTCACAGGGCTCAAATGGCAATCATGTCTTGTTTACCTTGATGACGTCGTGGTCTTTGCAGACACGTTTGAACAACACGTCCAACGCCTTCAGGCAGTACTTCAGGCAATCAGAACAGCGGGGCTTTCTCTCAAACCCGAGAAATGTCACTTTGGATATGAAGAACTGAAGTTCCTTGGTCACGTTGTGAGCCATGCCGGCATCCGCCCAGATCCGGAGAAAACCCGTGCTGTTGCCGCCTTTCCCGTGCCCACAAATAAGCGCGACGTACGCCGATTTCTGGGGCTCTGTGCGTATTACAGGCACTTTGTCAAAAACTTTTCGAAGATTGCGGAACCCCTCAACAAGCTTACAAAAGATGGTGTCTATTTTGTATGGGGTCCCGATCAGTGTCATGCGTTCGACACGCTCCGAAACCTCCTCCAGGCTCCGCCTGTACTGGGTCATTTTGACGAAAGCGCTGACACGGAATTACACACTGACGCCAGCAACGTTGGACTAGGAGCGGTATTAGTTCAGTGGCATAATGGCGTAGAGCGCGTGATCGCTTATGCGAGCGGAACGTTATCCCCAGCGGAGAAAAACTATTCTGCAACCGAGAAGGAATGCCTCGCTGTTGTCTGGGCCATAACAAAGTTCCGCCCATACTTGTATGGCCGCCCATTCAGGGTAGTTAGCGACCACCATTCCCTTTGTTGGCTCGCAAATCTCAAAGATCCCTCAGGTCGTCTAGCACGATGGAGCCTTCGGCTACAAGATTTCGATGTCACCATCGTCCACAAATCTGGGCGGAAACACACCGACGCCGATTGTCTCTCACGTGCACCGGTCGAAAATGCCAACACTGACCTTGAAGACGACGACACTTTTCTTTCTGTCGTATCAGCAACCCGCTTAGCTGAGCAACAGCGTCACGACTCGGAGCTCATTCCGCTCATTGACTACCTGGAAGGACGCAATTTTCACCCTCCTCGAAGCTTTGCACGCTCGCTATCCTCCTTTTGTTTCCGCGATGGAGTGCTTTACAAAAAGAACTTTCATCCTACACAAGCTGTGTATCTGCTTGTTGCGCCAACTACGCTTCGTGGTGACATTTTACGTGCGTGTCATGATGAGCCATCGTCCGGACACCTCGGCTATACGCGCACGCTGCAACGAATTCAACGCTCCTACTACTGGCCACGTCTCGCAAAGACTGTGAAGCATTACGTTCGCACATGTCGCGACTGTCAGCGACGTAAGGTTCCCCCTTTACGACCAGCGGGACTACTGCAACCAATAGGCCAACCAAAGGCGCCCTTTCATCAGATTGGCATGGACTTGCTGGGGTCATTCCCCACGTCTTCGTCTGGAAACCGGTGAATCGTGGTCGCTACCGACTACTTAACACGCTACTGTGAAACGAAGGCGCTTCCAAAAGCAATCGCAGCAGATGTCGCCCAATTTTTCGTGAACAGCATCGTCTTACGTCACGGTGCTCCAGCTGTCGTCATAACTGATCGTGGGACAGCTTTCACCGCAGAGATGCTGCAGGACGTCTTGCGATTAAGTGGCACGGAACATCGCAAAACAACGGCTTACCACCCGCAAGCAAACGGGCTGACTGAACGACTCAATAAGACAATTGCAGACATGCTGTCAATGTATGTGGACATCAATCACAAGAAGTGGGACGCCATACTTCCCTACGTAACTTTTGCGTATAATACTGCTGTTCAAGAAAGTACCGGTTTCACACCTTTTCGCTTATTCCACGGTCGCGAGGTCACGACGATGCTCGACGCCATGCTCCTGCCCGACAACTTAGGAACATACCGCACCGATGCCGCCAAATTCGCGCAGTGTGCAGAAGAGGCCCGTCGCCCCGCCGCGGTGGTCTAGTGGCTAAGGTACTCGGCTGCTGACCCGCAGGGCGCGGGTTCGAATCCCGGCTGCGGCGGCTGCATTTCCGATGGAGACGGAAATGTTGTAGGCCCGTGTGCTCAGATTTGGGTGCACGTTAAAGAACCCCAGGTGGTCTAAATTTCCGGAGCCCTCCACTACGGCGTCTCTCATAATCATATAGTGGTTTTGGGACGTTAAACCCCACATATCAATCAATCAATCAAGAGGCCCGTCAAATTGCTCGTCACCGTATTCAACATCACCAAAGCGCAGACGCACGCCGCTACAATCTTCGTCACCGTGAAGTTATTTTCAAGCCCGGTGATGAAGTCTGGGTGTGGACCCCTATCCGACAACGTGGCCGTTCATAAAAGCTTCTTCGCCGCTACTTCGGCCCTTACAAGGTCGTACGACGTCTCAGCGACGTCACATATGAGGTTCTCCCAGAAGGCACTTCGAGACGTTCCCGTTTCACCCCGCGAACTGAAGTCGTTCACGTTTCACGGCTGAAACCATAGTTTTCGCGCTGTGAATCGCCAGAGAGTGACTGACTTTATTCGTCTCTCCCTTACATTCTTTCCTATTTTTCTTATTTCTCATTTAACTCCTGACTCCACAACCAACTATGTTATTCCGCCTTACGCCATTAATTTGGCTTGCATGGTAATTTTCATCTCATTTTCTTTTTTTTTGCCTTCATGTACAGCATCGAGACGATGCTTCTTGGGAGAGGGGGTAATGCCACCATTGATGAACGAGCCGCTGTGGCTCATATCCGTTTTGGGCTACGAAGAAGAAGAGAACGTTTTGGTTGCTCCGGTTCGGGTGAACTCCTGGCTGCAGATCTTGTTTTTGCTCGCGACAATATATATATTTATATATATTTATATGTGTGTGCGTGTGTGTGTGTGTGTGTGTGTGTGTGTGTGTGTGTGTGTGTGTGTGTGTGTGTGTGTGTGTGTGTGTGTGTGTGTGTGTGTGTGTGTGTGTGTGTGTGTGTGTGTGTGTGTGTGTGTGTGTGTGTGTGTGTGTGTGTGTGTGTGTGTGTGTGTGTGTGTGTGTGTGTGTGTGAATTTTTTTCGCCAAATCTCGGGGACAGGTTTTGAGCGTTATATGCCTTGGTCTGGACCTCGGGGGAGCCTACACGCCGCTCATTTCAAACGCCCTGCTTTACGTGTCAAGAATCATCCTTGTATGCTGCGCTACAGTTGTACATAAAATCCGTGGGCGACCTACTAGGCCACGGTGCGCATATCGCAACCACATTAGTTGATTGATACCATAGGTTGTAGTTTGCACTTCATTCTTGAATGAAATCAACGTACCCACGAAATAGGAAAGAGTAACTACCAGCACGTGCAACGACCTTACAGCTTTTCCGAAGCGCAGATAACTCTTTAAGAGCTCCTCGCAATGCTTTCTTGAAGCTGCGACTAGGCATAGGCGACAACGAAGCCCGCGGTATTCGCCAACGCATCTGCGACTGATCTTTACAAACTACAAACCTTGCGCAACTTATGTCAGCTTTCTTTATATGGACGAAGAATTGTATATAATACTACACCCTTCTTTTGCGTTAACGCATCAGTGTTCGTTTAGCGGCGGTAAATTGGCTGCGATGACTCCAGAGAGTCTTAAACCTTGGTCGCCAATCGGTTCAGGGTTCTAAAGAAGTAGCTTCGGGGCTACTGTGCATAGCAAGACTGAAACCGGGCATCTTGTGCCCCTGCCAGTTCTTAGGAGTCCCGTTACACATGACGCCACCTGGCCAAAGATATTTGGCTAAACACTCGCTACCATGGGTACAAATAGTGAGAGCAGGCAGTGACAGGATTTTGCTAACATTTATATACAGAAAAAGCGGGCCTGGTTGGGTCGTCATTGAGGGCAATCTGTTCTTTTTTTTTTCGTTCGCTTTAATTCTTTCGAATTTCTGTTTCCGCTTCTCATTACTATTCATGTTACGTTGTTTTTCTGTCTGCCACATGCACAGAGCGCGAACTGGAAGTGGAGCAAAATAGTGTCCTAGAACTCCAAGCTCCTATGAACTAAAGCTACCAGAGGCAAAGCTCTTTGTGGTTGAAAACACATGCCATTTCCATTCAAACACGCTCTAAGGGATTCCTGCCGTGACGGTGATCTAGTGGCTAAGGCACTTGATTGCTGACGGGCAGGTCGCGAGATCGAATACCGGCCGCAGCGCCTGCGTTTTTCGATGGAAGTGAAAATACTTGAGGCCCGGGCGCTTATCTTCAGGTCATGTTAAAAAACACCGGGTGGTTGAAATTTGCGGAGTCCTTCACTACAGCGTCTCTCATATTCATATGGTGGTTCTGGGACGCCGAACCACAACAATTGTTTATCGTCATCATTAGCCTGAGTACTCAAACTGAAAGGCAAGGATCTCTTCCACGATCCGCCAATCAACCTTGCCGAGTCTGCTGCCACGTTATACCTCGAAGCTTTTTAATGCCGTCGATCCACCTAACTTTTTGTCTCCCCTTCGTGCCCAGCCTATGTCCATTTCTTCTTGATTTCAACCACGATATCCTTAACCCAGGTTAGTTCCTTTGTCCAGTCTGCTCTCTTCTTGTCTCATAAAACTACATGAACCATTTTCCTTTCCATCGCTCGCTGCGTCGGCGCAACAAATATATTACTTAGTAAGGGAACTCTTATGCTTATTTATGTCAAACAATCATATTTTCTTTTCGAATAATAGAACAATAGGCTAGTTAATAGGAATTGATTTTAAAAGACAGGGCACGTGAACTCGGGCACTGTCTGTGTGGTCCCGGCTTCGCTGTTGCGACCGCATATGCACGCCTCGTCTTTTCAATTTCGTAATTCCAGCTTACCTATTTTCGTTCTTTCTGCTTACCCAATGACTGTATGAGGCCGCTGATATCTTCGACCAGGTAGCACAACTGGTACTCCTCAGCACTGGATGGCCTTGAAGACTGACCGTACCCCCGCATGTCTGGAGCGACCACCCTGCAGCAGCGAATTGACGAAGGATACTCACACAAATTAAGTAAACACAAAATAGTAGGTTCAAAAGAGCGTTGTTTTAACTGAGCAAGGCAATCAGTCGACATGGCGAATTGACCTAATGTTATCAGCAAGCACTGGTCTCCACGTCTCTGCAGCTGCTTTGGCTTCTATAAAATGAAGCCGGGGGCAGGTGAAATAAGAGCGCAGCTGCTAGTTGAACGTCCATGTCAGCACCTTTGGTGCCGCCATGGCATCGTTGACGTGCTGGTTACGTAAATAGAGCACATACGCTGCTCCCGTCACGAAGGATCGTGGGTCAGCAGATCCACTCGTGATTCGGCTCACTGAGACTCAGATTGGGTCGCGAGTCTTGAGTCTGAGTGACTCTTCGTGAGCAATATTTTGGTGAGCTTTAGCCGTAGTGCGTCCAGTTTCGGAAAGTTGTAGCGAGTCTCAGCACAAGTGAGTCCGGGTAAGGTAAATTTCGGTAAGTCGGAACCCGAGTTAGCCCAAGGTGCAAAATGTATTTATTTATTGAGTCTGAACGAGCTCCACCTTTTATTGTCTACCTGTGGTCCTACGTACTCCTATTTAACATAATTATCAGCCTAATGTCCGCTGATGTCTCTACTTAAGTCTATTCACGCATAATCCAACGCAATACCGTTCATGGGCCACCTCGTTCTACAACAATGAGAGTTAGACAGCCTTTACTTTTCTCCGGAGCTCCCCGCAAGTTCTTTCACGACAACTTTCTTACAAAAATATCTAGTGTGATATGCGTGTTTGATAAAAAAACATTCTTACTGAATTAAAACCACTGATTATTCGTACTGGAAGAAACAAGATCAAAATGAGCACTGTGGAGCACCTATCGTCTGAGATATGGGTGTTACAAGCCGTTGAAAGCAAAATCTTAATAATAAATTTTACGCTAACGGACTCGTGCTCGAACGCTAATGACTTACCCCGGCTTAGGTCAAGAAGTGCGTCTCAGTGAGTCACACTCAGTAATATTAGTCCGAGTTTATTGGGTCTGAGCCTGAGTGAGCTGGCTTGAAGAAAAGTTTGGTTGGTGTGAGAATGAGCCCTCAGAGAAAAATAAGTTTGTTCAGTCAGTCTGAGTGAGCTCTAGTTCTTTTGCCAACCTATGAGAAAGATAGTTGTGTCAGGTTAAGAAAAGTTAAAATCTGCAACCCCTAATGAACCATTAGGGACCTCCAGGTGAGCGCTTGCTACCTAACGGCCACGCCTAGAAACAGCCCTAACAAGGTCAGCCTCCAAAGGGGATATGTTACCACGCTGCTCGCTGAGCAGCAGTCGCATAGTTTCTTTATTTTCTCCATGCCGCACGCGCGAGCCCGAAGAAGACGAAAGCAAAGTCGACAGACCATTACATTGTGCCGCAATGTGTGGCATTGCTGTGCAAAGATCGCAATGAACGCATTCTTGAATCACTTCTCGAAGAATGCAGATGACGCGTGACGGGGAACGGCGAAAATCAGAAACTTACGCATTTGAAAGAATGTGACGGACACTACCGTAGTTTGTCCCAATCAGTTCGCTCGCGATGACTTAGTTGTCCAGGGTGAGTACACTATATACTTAGAGAGGGTATTCTTATCAACATTCGGTCTTTCCGAAGCGGGAAGTAGTATTTCGTTTAAAACAAGCGCTTCAGAAATTTCGGTGTGTTAACTGTGTTACTTTAATTTTGGCATATGCTTATATTTTTCTGCACAAGTTGTAGTGCTATCAATTTTCAAGTTTAGCTGCTGTAATTCTTCCTACCAAACAATTTTGATTTCGCATGTGTGTATATACAGGCACACACACGCAAGCGAAAAGGTCGCGCGTGCGTAGCGGGCGCGTGTGTATACAGGGTGTCTCTTGTAGCTTTAGCCAGAGTTGAAATATATGCTGGAACACGTAATTACGGCGCGACCAAATGCATGTTGCTCATTGTTGCTTGAAGTTAGACTATTTATTGTGTTCTCAAATATTGTTTAAATAAATCTGTTTAATTAGGTAACTGTTGAAGGAACGAAGATGAATGAAAATTTGAATGAGAAAGTCGTAGATCGGTTTGCAAGACGTCCGAATAGATACTTTTGAACTTTATATATCTCTTAAGTGTTAGTGTTTTTCGACTAATTACCAATGCCCACGAAATTCAAAATATAACACGTGAACAACCCACTCGTGCGCCAGTGCGCACAATGATTCTACTGCTCGCTAACGTTCCGCGTACGAGCGACCATAGCATTTGCCCCATTAGCTGTCTCGGCAGCACTGCAACGATGGTGGTGGCTTTACGATGAAGACCTTTTACTATCGGCCACAAAAACGATAACCGCTGTGACTTCTTATCGCTGTCATGAACTGGTGTGAGGGAAGCGTGTCAATCACAAGCGGAACGTTAGCGAGAACTAGAATCATCGTGCCCACTGACGAGCGAGCCGGTTTGCCACGTGGTATTTTTTAAGTGTGAGTACACTTTATAAGCGACCCCAAACCATCTACCGCCGTCGGCGGCGTCCGCAGTCTTCTCTCTATCTTTAAAAGAAAGAGGACTTGGCGGGCCGCAGCGCGACGCTCTACCGAATGAGCCACGGACGCGACGCTGATATCGGTGTCAGTAAAGCGCCTTATACCCCCTCCCTCTTCGCTCGCTCCTCCGCTCTCGTCGCTCGCTGCAGCTGGGCGCGCCCCTCTCTCTCGCGCGCCCGCTTTCTCTCTCAGTCTCCTGTCGAGAGCGGGTCGTGAGGGGGAGCAAAGTTAAAATCCGTTGGCATTCGCCAGTGAGTTAACGTAAACTCCCCCGTGTGATCAAATTGCGATTCCCAGGAACCATTACACCATAAAGGCACCATAGTGTGAATAATAAATATAATATTGCGAATTAATAAATACCCCTCATAGCATCACCCCGTGTATTCGCACTTAATCATGTTCACCCTCGGGGAAATGCTTGGGAGTTTTTGTATTTCTCAGGCATTTGTATTTGCAGAAAAACACTGATACTTAACAGATACAAAGTTCCAAACCATCTGTTTGAACGTTTCGCAAACCGGTGTACAACATGAAATTTTTTATCCGTATTCGTTCTTTCAAAAGCTTGCTAATTAATCAGATGTAATAAACAATATTTGAGAATACAAAATATTCTGAATAACTCCCGACAACGGTGAACAACATGCATTTGGTCGCGTCGTAATTATGTGTTCTGGCGTATTTTTAAACTCTGGCTAAAGTTACATGGGACACCCTGGATATATCATGTTAGTGCATTCGTAGCGTGTGCAGTTGTCATGCATATATCTACTTTGAATGCAACTACTGCCAATTCAAACAAGCGAGTGTTCAGAAGCACATGACTTTATTTATTAGAAAACTAATAACATTGGTCGGTGAACGAAAAGAAAGGAGCTCTCTTGTTACAATTAAAACTATGAATTGACTTAGCTCAATATACACTTGTCTAGAGATAGCACCGTTATGTAATTAAGTGAGTGGCATCTGTATTCAGCTTTTACGCGGAATTCAATGGGACACATGCAACCGGCAGCACGAGTCACAGCGTATAGTTACTTCGAAACTGTTAAGGCCTGCCTGTACCATCGTCGCAACGCAACGCAAAAGTGCTATAGCACCTTTCGGAGAGGGCCGCTACACATAAGCAGTTGCCCTTTTCAACCTCGGGCTCACTAGACAGGTTCTTCAGTTTGAAGTAAATCCGATGTGGTTTGCCGTAAAGGCTCAACGTTTGCGCGCACAGCGGAACTATTTCCGCTGTTTAGCCAGTGAAACCCTCTACGCCGATGAGAATGAGGTGGTCCGCAACCGGCACCCTTTCACATTCGACGAAGCAATGCAATCCGACGCTAAAATAAAAAAAAACATCAGCACAGCGCCAAGCGAAAGTGCCGCGTTAGGCCCATTAGGCACAACCATGCTTGTTCTTTTTTACTAGTGCTGCCAGCGCACGCGGCGTCTTCTAGAGTTTCGAATATGAGTGTCTTGGGGGTGGGGTGTGAAATGTAAGCGATAGACGAAAGAGACAGGAAAGGAATCGACATCGTCCGAGTAGAGTGCCCATCAACAACGCAGTTGTATTTCCTTCATGTTCTACACCCTCCCCCAAAGCTGCATTTTACTTCCTGCTAGATTGCAGAAGTAAATGTTCTTTGTAACATAAAACTTCTATTATGAGTCGCCAATGCCACCACGGGGGGCAGGAGTTAAAACAGTACGCCTTTCCTGCTATACATACTGGACTCGATTTTCAGGGCCCCTGGGCATTCTGAGATTTTCTGCCAGTGATGGCACTTGTCTCTAGAAAGTCGCTATTTTCTTCTCCGCCCTAAACGCAACAACTATGCTGATATACTTAGCATATATATGTGCAGTTTGCAAAACGCTTGTCTTTACAAGTTTAATGCCCTGGTTGCCGTTCGGTGTGATAAATCTTGCTTTGATTTAACCGTGAATAAAGGAAACGTTGCCGGAAAAAAAGACATATATAGTTACCAGTATTTTTTCTTGAGCTCGAGTATCTGCTTGTGCCACGTGTACCAAATGTCGGGAAAACCATGGAGCAAAATCACCAATGAGTTGTGTCGGCTTCCGGCAGAAACATAGTGCAGCGTCATGCCATTCTGTCGAGGGGGAAAACGAAGGAAAGCCCACATGCACCAAAAGTCGGACTCCTAACTTTTTTCTTTCTTTCTTCATTCATTAATTCTTTCGTTTTACAGAAGGAGCAGCAAGAGCTGAAAGCCATGTGGCCTGAGAGAGGCTCTTAGTCCTTTGAGCATTCGGCATGAATACAAACGGTTTTGATGCATGTAAAGCATTAAAGCATCAGCTTGTACACGAATAAAGGCAAACAGAGCAAATACAGTTTCACATCGTGCAAATACCTCCAGACAACAAAGACGTATACGAAAACACCTAATAAACCGATACAATAAAACAATTTGTGTAAAATAAAAGTATCATCAAAACACTTCAAGAAAAGAAACATATCATGCAAAACACTTCATGAAAAAAAACACATCTTTCAATTGTACCTCAAAGCATTACATAATGAAGGTTAAAACTCGAGCCAGAAAAACGGTGAAAAAAGGCATGTATAAATGGTGTATAAAATGTTCTTGATAAATTATCGTAGAATGTGAAAGAGGGCTTTTTGCATATTGTTTAAAACGGGGCCCGTTAAAAGTCGGTGTCATTCCTGACAGTGTTCAATAGCCGGGGTATTTGATATTGTAAGTCCTGGCATCCGTACTTTGTTCGCATGAGCGGTGACATTGTTGTTTGGTGGCGTAACTGTTACCGTGGAAATGAAATTGGTGTACTACTAGTATGCCGTCTCTGATTTTAATGAGCAATAGTAATCATTAGTAGTGAATTTGATTTGTCTTCATCAATTAATTGTTATCAAAAAGATTGAGGAACATTCATGTCGACTATCGGTTGTTCTGTTTCCTCTCCAACTACCGTTTCTTCTTTTAAGAGCGCAGCGATATGCCGGACGACAGATGAGTGTCGAGGGTAGCCGTACTTCCATTTCCAGATCAGCGTCGGATCTAGAGGGTCCGTAAAGGCGATCGAACCCCCCCACCCCCCCCCCCCGAATCTGTCTCAGCACCCACACTCCTCACTAAAGTGCTTGTAGTCCACCTCCTATCACAAATCAGGAATAGTGAGTGCAAGTACTGTGAACACACATTAAAATTACTCATTCTAGAGAGGGATTTTCTTGTCAGTAAAAACAAAGAAGTCATGATAACGCCCCCTCTAATGAGTGGTTGGATTCGCCCCTATTTCAGATACACCAATAAATGGCCTGTGCTGCATTTGTCACGGACAAACCAGTGGCCGCCCAGTGAAAATGAGAAAGCGCGGCTGAAGTAAACCGAAACGGTTTTTTTTTTTCATCGGCGGTGAACTCAAACCCAAGGCCTTGTGAGTATCGTGTTGGGGAGGGGAGGGGCGGGGGGTATATTGACAAGGGGTGGCCAAGGGAGGAAAGAAAAATGGTGCAATATATGAGTCACGATGTCATTATATGTTCATTTCTATTCCACGAATGAGCTACGCACGGGCATCCACACAAAATTGCGAAACATCCGACAGAAAATCACAGAAAGTAACATAACACCCACAGCTTGTGTTCCTTTCACACTGGTTAAAATTGGTTCTTTTTTTTTTTTTGCAAACCTGAGCAGACATATGACAGACTGTTCCCCACGTTGCATGGAACGGTTTGTGTTTTGTTTTTAACGTACCTAACCTAACGAGATCAATCATGCCGAGATCAATTAACGAGATCAATCAAGGACTGTTTGGGGGACGTTATTAGAATTCCTTGAAATGTAAATGTGAAGAAATCAAAGGGTACCAAAAGATAGCTTCGGGGGTAGGGACCAAACCTGCGACCTTCGAATAGCCAATTCCGATGCTCTACCAACTGACCGTACAACGGCGGCTGTCCCCCCGTGCAATTTATGAGGTATACATCTGCATTCAACGTGGGAGCGTCAGCATCAGCGCAGTAGCCATGACGGTGAGTGTAGAACGCGCTTTTTCAGCCTGTTTGGTGTAACGTAACACGCGGTCATATTACTAGCTGGTAGTTGACCAATAATCCCGTGTGTATTGTCTTAAGGCACGCAGTCTTGCAGAACGAGACCCTCGCTATCAGTGGAGCAAAAAAGTCTACATATCAGAACACGTTTTCTTTGAAAACTAGCCCTCAACAGTACACTTCTTTCCTGTTTTTATTCACTTTATATGTTTTAAATTTATACAATTTTATACACATACATTTTTTATGTTTAAATTAAGTATTTTATTTTTCCTGCGAAGTGCCATGTAAGCTCCTGGTACTGTTACCTAAGTATGCGTTTTTCGTCTACGCCTGTCTCATGAAGTAGCTGTGTGGTTCCTAATGGCGTCCAAGGCGGAAGTGGCAAACTCTCCTTTTTTCAGATGAAGAACGAATGCATTTGTTTGACAGCTCAATTCCTCAGTGTTGAAGGAGGCGCTAAATTAAATCCAATCTTTTTTTTTTTCGTTTAGTTCCAGCATCGCTTCTACGCTTCCTTTGTGGGCCGTCACGAGATTTGGTCTGAATGATAAGAGTAAGACATGCTGACATATCCAGTGCGTTGAATCTCACTTGAGGCGTTTGTTTTGTTCTTTAATACTATAATAAGTAGAAGTTTGTGCCAATGTGTTGCGCTGGCTACTCCATTTCCCTGGCATAATAATTGTCGTCGCAAAGTAGAAAAAACCAGCTCACAAGTAGGAAACACAGGCTATGGTAAAACACAGACAAACTCAGTCCAAATTGCTCAGTCCAAACAAGAATGTTGATGATGATGAGTAGTTTTTAGTGGCGCAAGAGCCAATTGATGGCCAAAGAGCGCCATTTCAATTGACTACAGATATGAACAATGATACTGAGCGTGGCTGTAAAGGGCCTTAAAAATCCTCGCTCTAACGCAGGTTAAAACATGAAAGTAATAAAATCATGACAGTGGGGTGACATATGTGTGGTGATAGCTGATGGCAAAATGTCATGATAATAAAACCATGATGAAGATGTAGTCACCGCAGCCACGACCAATCTATAAAGGTCGTGCTACGGATGACCTCGAAATATCGGGTGAAAGCTTCGCACATCTTTTAAAAACGTAAAAAGTGTTTGCAGTTTAAAAAGCGCATCCCTACCGATGAGCATCCAAGGATGTAGAGGGAGCTGCTGTCAGTAAGGCAGTAAAAAGTGCTTTTTTCTTAGAGCATCTAGCTCATTGCACTAGACGAGAATGTGGAGAACCGTAAGGGGCTCTCCACATCTCTCACAATATGGTGGATCACCGGTAGACAGAAGAAATGAATGTGTAGAATGTGTGTGTCCTGTTCTAATCTTTGTTAGTATTACTTCTGCGTGTCGTGATTTTGATAGTGGCGGCCAATAACCTAGTTGCGGCTTAATAGCATGGAGTTTATTATCTGTGTGTTTATCCCACATGCTCTGCCAATACCCCCTGAGCTTTCGTTTTATAAAAGGTTTTAGGTCAAGTGCAGGGACTGATGTAGATGCATTGGCAGTAGTGAGATTGTCGCAAGCAGCCAGATTGTCGGCCAAAACGTTTTCTTGTATTTCACGGTGCCCTGGAGCCCAGCAGACAACGACATGCTGTTTTCATGCTTAGAGTGTGCACAGAAGTGAGTAGAGTGACATCAGCACGGGGTTCTTGTGTTTTTAGGAGTTTTCAGGGCTTTGACCACGCTTAGGGAGTCTGTGTATATTACCGCCTTTTGTAATTTTATCTGTTTAATGTGTTTTACGACCGCCAGTATTGCGTAAGCTTCTCCTGTGAAGATGCTTGCATTAGGATGAAGAACGCCGTACTCGGTAATGGATTGGCCTACCGCTGCATATGACACAGAAGTGTTTGACTTTGACGCATCAGCAAACAACTCAGGGCATGTGTATTTATGTTGTAGTTCTAAAAAGTATGTATGCATGTGTGCAAGTAGTGCGTGTTTTGTGACATCAACAAAAGAAACATCACAGTCTATAAGCTGCCACTGCCACGGTGGCAGATATGTTGCAGGAGCCATCAAACTGGGTTCAAGAAGAGGCACACCTGTTTTTTCGGCCAGGCTCCTTACACGCAGCGCGTAGGGCTGCCTAAACGAAGTACGGTTCTCGAACAAGCCAGAACAAGACAAATCATTAATTGTGAAATGGGAGGGATGTTTCTTGTCTACCTTCAGCTTCAAAAAATACAGAAAGTACAAGGAACATCTTTGTAGGTGGAGCGACCATTCATTCGAATCCACGTACAGGCTCTCCACAGGGCTGGTGCGGAAAGCACCCGTAGAGAGGCGAATGCCTAGATGGTGGACAGGGTCGAGAATTTTCAAGGCTGATGGTGTTGCCGACTGATAGATTATAGCACCGTAATCTAGGCATGTGCGTACGAGGCTTTTATATAAGTTAATTAAACATTTCCTGTCACTACCCCATGTAGTGTGTGACAACACTTTCAAAATGTTCATTGTTTTTAAGCACCTGTCCCTTAAATACTTGATGTGAGGGGTGAAGGTTAGCTTAGTGTCTAATATGAGACCAAGAAACTTGTGCTCGGTCTTCACTGACAAAGGTTGACCATGCAGGTCAATGTCGGGGTCAGGATGGAGGCCCCTCTTTCGGCTGAAAGGACACAAGTGCTCTTTTGCGCGTTGAGTATAAAACCATTCTCGTTTGCCCATTGAGATACCTTGTTCAACCCTAGTTGAACTTGACGTTGGCACATTGAGATGTTGCACGATTTGTAACCAATCTGCACATCATCGACATATATGCAGTAAAAAATATTTCGTGGGAGAGACAGGTGCAAGGAATTCATTTTAACTATGAAAAGTGTGCAGCTCAATACACCTCCTTGTGGCATTCCTGTTTCTTGGACAAATACTCGAGATAAGACAGTGCCAACTTGGACACGGAATGTACGGTTGGACAGGTAGCTTTCGATAACTGTCAGCATTCTACCCCGCACACCTAAATGTGAGAGGTCTCGCAATATGCCGCAGCGCCATGCAGTGTCATAAGCCTTTTTCATATCGAGGAACACAGAAA